TAAATGTCTGTTGTTTTATTTTTTATTTTTTTAAAACTTGTTCTTATTGATTTCAGAGACAAAGAGAGGAAGAGAGACAGAAGCATCAGTGATGAGACAGAATCAGTGATCGGCTGCCTCCTGTATACCCCCTACCAGGGATAGAGCCTGCAACCGGGGCCTGTGCCCTCACCAGGAATGAACTGTGACCTGGCTCATAGTTCAATGCTCAACCACCGAGCACACTGGCTAAGCATGTATCTTCTTTTTTTCTAAGTTAAAATTCTTTTATAAATATTTTACTATATATCTATTATGCAATAACATTGATTGATTAAAAACAAGATTCTCAATATCTATGGCATAATTTTATTTATTCGCCTCCCAAAGGAGGATATTGACATTTCTAGTTATTAATAGCTTTCTGTGTATATGACAATGAATGGAAAACTTGACAGAAAGGAAAAGAAATGAGCATGTACAGAATCTGGGGAAGAGAAATATGTGTACTGTTCAGGACTCCCAGAAACCAAAGGAAGGTATAAACAACACATGCATGCTTATATCGTAACATACTGTATTTTTTGTATCCAATAATTCCTGAAAAGAGCTCTATGAAATCAGAAGAATGTAATGTGTAAGGCCCAATAATAGGAAATAAATGAGGTAAAACAATTGTGAGGCAGTTCTTGTCTTTTCTTGGATCTCAAATTATAGCTGGGGAAGTAAAGCTTTAACCCTTAAAAATTTAAAAGTAGGTCACAATTTAATGGTAACATCTTTCCTACATTCATAAATTCAAGATTATAAAAATATCAAGAAATATGGAGCACGATATATGTTTAGAGATCTAGCTAATTGAGACACCGGGCACTGGACTTACATTCCACAGATTCTCCTAATTTCTTTCAGGACTATCTCAAATGCATTTCCTAATGAATAATTTGTTCCTCCTTTTCACTGCCTTACTTTCTGATCTAATCATAACTGTACCAAGTTACTGCTGTTATGCTATTTCTCTGAGTCGATCTATCAGAAGGAAATAATGTGGCCAAGGAGTGGAGTAATATATGAGATATTGTCATAATTTAGGATTGTATGTATTTTTTTGAAATATATATATATTAGAGGCACAGTGCATGAAATGCATGCACTGGTAGGGTCCCTGAACCTGGCCGGCAATCAGAGCCGATCTATCGGGTGACCAGAAGGGTGATTGGGGGTCCCTGCTGGCACCTGCCTTGGGCAGACTGGCACTGCCCTTTTGGCGGCCCCGCCACCCTCTGCCACTGCCGCCAGTCGCCTCCCTCTGTGGAGCGACTGGTGGGGCTATAAGGTGTCTCCCGATGGCACCTACCTTGGCTGGCCTGGGGCCTGCGAGTTGGGTAAAGCTCCTGCATTGAGCACCTGCCTCTTGGTGGTCGGTGCATGTCATAGTGACCGGTCGTTCCACTGGTCATTCCACCATTCGGTCAATTTGCATATTGGGCTTTTATGATATAGGACTAGAGGCCCAGTGCATGAATTCGTGCATGGGTGGGGTCTGGCAGGCCCAAACCAATAGGGGCTGATCAGGGCTGGGCTGGTGGGGGGAGGGGATGCAGGAGGTTAGGGGGGCGATTGGGGCTCTAATCGGGCTGGTTGGCCACTGCAGCACGTGTCATAGTAACTGGTCATTCAGTTGTTCTGGTCATTCCAGCCATTGTGGTTGCTTGGCTTTTATATATATAGATAATTTTGGAGTGGTGACTGCTTAAAACTGTAAATTAAAAGTAAATAATAAACATTTGCTTTATTAAAGATAAAAATATCTTACGAATATGTAATACATTCAATGTTTAAAAAAAACGTTTTGGCCCCCAAAAAAACAACAACAATGATTTTCTTTAAGTCTTTAAATGAATTGTTTAAAATAATATTTTGTATTTTGTATTCTTTTATTCTTTTATGTTAAAAAGTAAATTATCAATGTAAACATAATGGGAGTGTTTTGAATTATATCATTATCTTCCTCTCAAAAATAAATTTCATGCATTGCACAATACTTTTCAGGTCTCAATAAGATACTTGTTTTTCTTCTTTCTGATTATATTTGGAAAACAAGTCTTGTAATTATATTTTAAAATTTTTATATGTAATAAATATATTAAAATATATCTCATGAATTAAAAATCCCATTCTTTATGAAGGAAGAAGGAACCAGCTGATATGAATGAAATAGTAAATAATTTTTAGTTATTTTACTAAAAACATTTGCAATTGCAATTTTACTTTATTTTCACAGTAAATTATTATTTTATTTTATGGTTTCACTTTTAGGATTTTTTTTTTGCAGTAGAAGAGATTTGGGCTGGGAGTTAATAAAGAATTTAAGTATAATCACAGAGCTACTAAATGTTCAGTGGCATAAAAATTCAAAAGTTATGGGGCGTTCCAAAGACATTGCTCTTCACTTATGCAGTTAAATCTTATTCACATAATATTCTTATTGCCACAATGTAAAATGTAGTTTTAATGATCCAGATATTAAATTTTAATAATTTAATATGCATGATTTAAGCAGTTATTATTTGAAAGTTACTTATATTATTATCATTAAATATTCTTAGCAATTGGTTTGGATTCCTGTCCGGAACCACAAACTCCCAGCAATGGAATTAAAATTGGAGACAGATACATGGTTGGTGATGTGGTATCATTTCAGTGTGATCAAGGCTATTCTCTGCAGGTAAGTTTATTTTAAGAGAATAGTTTTTATTTCCATTACCCTTTCAGGATATTTGAACAAACCAATTATTATAATCTTCAAGTTTTAAAACTTTATTGATTTGGGGCCTCATTAGCCTGAAGTCTAATCGCATTCAATTTTTCAGTAAAATATATGTGTGAGAGAAATTTGCTGAAATTAACTAAATTTGTTTTGATTGCAACTAATGAAAAATTAATTTTGAGTCAAAATTAATTATTCACTTTTCTCTATTCACATGGGATGTTACAATTGAACTCTTGGATTTAAGAATGTGAAAATAGAAATGAAGTTCTACTTAAATCATTAAATGAAATTTCCATGACAATAAAGTCCCCAAAGTAATGAAAATCAACCACAAATATATTTTCCTAAAAAAAATGGATTTGCAATGTATATTCAGATTTTTTTTGGTCTTTATATTGATCCTCTGTTATAGGTTTTTTGAAGGGTCACAAATTTATGGTCTCATAAAAATCTCCCTAAAGAATAGGCTGATTAAGAAATTGAAAATAAAATAAGCACAAACTATTTCACATATTGGGTAAATAAATTCCTAAGAGGAAACTAAATTAAAAATTAATAATTTATAGTTTTTAGGTTGTCTCACAAATGATTAGTTTCAGAAGTGCAATCAGGTCTATCTGGATGTTATGTATCAATTTAAAATTTAATATACCTCAACACCTGTTCTAATATTTTTATGAAAGAATTTTATCATTATTTAACCTCATCTTGAATATTACAGCAATTTATTATAAACCATTATATATGGCCATTTCACTTGTGTAATCATTATAGTAGAATGTTTTGATAAAAAAATATAAAATACAATTCTAATGTGATATGGAGTCTTAATTTTTCTATCTGGATCTTTTTTTAAAAATTTTATCAAAAGTATATATAATTGCCATTCTTATTCCAAATAATATAATAAGACTTACAGTAAAAGTGGAAATCTATAAAAGTGACAATATGTATTTAACTTTGTTTTCATAATCGTCTTTCACTATGCCATGTTCAATTTAACTTTAAAAACTGCACTGAACCCGGCCTTGGTGGCGCAGTGGTTGAATGTCCACCTATGAACAAGGAGGTCACAGTTCAATTCCTGTCAGGGCATATGCCTGGGTTGATGGCTTGAACCCCAGAGTGGGGCGTGCAGAAGGCAGCCAATCAATGATTCCCTTTCATCATTAATGTTTCTATCTATCTACTTCACCCGTCCTCTCTGAAATGAATTAAAAAAATAATAATAATAAAATAAAATAATAAAAAGCTGTACTGAACTGTACTGTCCTATTTACACAGGGTCATTCTCACATAACATGTATGCCTGGACCTGTAAGAAGATGGAATTACCCAATCCCCATTTGTTTGGGTAAGTTAAAGAAATATAGAACATTTATAAGGTTTATCAAATTTTAAAGTTGCATGCTTTATATGATATTATTCAAATAATAGTTTGCCTTTTGTCGGGTCTTATGTAAAAAATACTTTGAGATAAATGTTTCATATCTTTTTTATTTTAAATTTTTACAGTTCTTTTTTTTTTTTACCCCAATTCAATATCAATGAATGACTTTAAACTTTAGAGAATTGAGAAAAGACATTAGGTTTTCTGATTCTCTGAGAAAGTTTTTTCAGTATAACATGATAGAAGTACCCAGGGATCAGGAAATAGTAAATATCCTATTGATTACAACTGAGCCAATGTAGATAAGGAATCTGGAGTCTATCAACGGGAACATGGCACTCCAGGGGATGTCTTCAGTGGTGACAGACAATGGAGATATGGAATATATGTCAAAAGAGCACTAGGGGCTTTGAAAATATGGGCACAAACTTTTTTTTAAAAAATATATTTTATTGAGTTTTTTACAGAGAGGAAGGGAGAGAGATAGATAGTTAGAAACATCGATGAGAGAGAAACATCGATCAGCTGCCTCCTGCACATCTCCCACTGCATGGGCACAAACTTTTGCCCTAAATGCTGCTTCCAAATATTTCTATCTCACCCTTTATTATTATTTTTTTTCTGTTCCTCATTTCTGTTACCTGTATGCAACCATTAGTATGCTGGGTTCTACAGAGTATGAAAAGTATGTGGGGCCCTAGTTGGTTGGCTCAGTGGATAGAGCATTGGCCTGCAGACTGAAGGGTCCCAGGTTCAATTCCAGTCAAGGGAACATGCTTGGGTTGTGGTCTCAATCCCTATTAGGGGGCGTGCAGAAGGCAGCCGATCAACCAATGATTCACTCTCATTATTGATGTTTCTATCTCTCTCTCCCTCTCCTTTCCTCTCTGAAATCAATAAAAACATATTTTTTTTAAAAGTATGTGGGGTAGGATTTCTATCATTAAAATATCCATTTACTGTTTAGAGTGGTAGAAATAAGAGAAATGAAATAAGAGTAATTTAGTATTAAATTATACCATTGATTACATGATGCAATTTCAGAAATATGAGACTGGTATTGACTGAACTGGTGTTGGCTGGGAAATCAGCCCATAGTATTTCCACAGTTTTGGATGGTATGTGCTATTCAGATAAATGGATAAAGAAGAAAGCCCTTTCTGAATAGCAAGAAGGGCAGAATCAAAAGAATTGGTGTGATTTTTATACCTACTTATATAAAACTAGAGGTCTGGTGCACAGATTCATGCACCGGTGGGGTCCCTCGACCTGGCCTGCACCCTCTCACAATCTGGAACCCCTTGGGGGATGTCAGACTGCTGGTTTCGGCCCAATCCCCACAGGCCAGGACAAGAGACCCCACTGGTGCACAAATACATGCACTGGGCCTCTATTATGCATATTAGATCTTTGGTTAATCTCTTCCCACTCTCCTCCCTCCCTGCTTCCCTCTGAGAGTCATTAGTATGTTCCATGTTTCCATGCCTGTGCATTGAGCATCTGCCCCTGGTGATCAGTACGCATCATAGTTAACGAAGGAATGGTCGAATGGTCAAATGATCGCTTTGGCTTTAGATACATAGATAGATAGATAAATAGATAGATAGATATAGATATACATGATGCCTATTGTAAAAATTTATATATACAGATAATACCAATTATGTGTGTGCTATGTGTGGGGTGTATATTTATGTGTGTATCCAATTGTGTATAAAAATAGGGGGCATAATAAAGTAT